AAATACAATAAAGCGATACAATAAAAAGTGCGAGTACAACGGTTTGCGACGCTGAGAAAGCGTAATGCCTTGACCACGTGGGCGGATTCGAAAATGGATCGCTTTGCGAATATATAAATCGCGTCGTTGCCGGTTCTCGTGCAACGTTCGACACCGTCATAAAACCTGAACCGGTCCCGGTTTCGATGCTCGCGAGCGCGCCCGCACATACGACTGTATTAATATGTATTATCAGTCTCTCTTTCTATCCCTCTTGGCCTCTCTCTCTCTCTCTCTCTCTCTCTCTCTCTCTCTCTCTTTTGATATATTTCTAGTTTTTGTACTGCTTAATTATAAATCAATATGCTAATCTTTAGTTCTGTCACGCACGTAATTACGTTAAAAAAAGTGCGCGAGTTATTACAGATGTAGTATAATAACTCGTTTCCAAGTAGAAATGTTGCGTGTGACGTCCGTGTTTTTCATCGGCTCCTGTTTTTACCTTTCCGTGTATGCCTTTTTAATAGAAGTGTGTACGGATAGAGGTTGTCGGATAATATAACATGTACATATATTTACAATAATAAGTTAGCAGACACGACAATTTTGGTTTTTCGATAAATATTTGATATGATCTAGCCTTAATGCCGTTGAATTATGTCGTCGCGTAGCCACGTACCGAGCGAATTATATTATAAAAGGAGCGGAGAGTCACAAACGTGCGTGATATAGAACACCTGCTCTGAATTCGAGGATATCCGGGGTCTCATCCGGTCGATATCGAAAATATATCGCGAGATAAACATCACCGTTATATCATCTGAATTGCAAATGCAATTTGGAAGAGGCATCGCCTTTTTACCGCCGTATAGGTGCACGCCGATCGAACGCGTGAACATTTCGAGCACCTCGCCAACTTACTACGCTACGCTCTTTGTATTTCAATATCGAAAGTCTGCTAGATTTTAAAATATCGTCCACATTCCGATGAATTATTTTTTGGTTGTGAAACGCTTCTCTCGTGTAACTTGCAAATCTTACGCGAGATAAACAATTTAATGCCATAAAAATATGTGTCCTGAGAAATAGCGCGATTTCGATAAATGTT